AGGAAGACGACAGTGAAGAGGATGACGAGGGCAATGGAGATTACCAAAGCAAGGAAAGAAATCAAGAGGATAAAGGGACCAATGAGGAAGAGGGCAGTGACTCTAGCGAGGTCAATGAAGATGAGCAAATCCAGGAAAACGAGGACGAGGACGCTAACGAGGAAGATGGGCAGTGAAGATGAGCCAACCACAGTCCTTAGTACTTAGCTATGTGTGTTTGCGTTTGTGCTTGTATGTTTTCCAATTAGAATATGATGATGCACCGGTGTGGCTACATGCAGCTAAACTTAAGCATTAATTAGACATATTTAATCATGTTATGGATGCTTGTTTTATTAGACAAATGTAATGCTTTGACTGCTTTTTACTTTTTGTTAACAGGGTATCTCATCTGATATGATGTACGGTTACTAGAGAACATTGTGAATGGATCTGTGTAATGCTCGTGTCAAGCTTTAAAGAACATTATGAATAATCTTTTTCATAAGTTTGAAGTTCTGGAAAAAAGTCCATTCTTTTTGAAACACCATTATAATAAGTACATGGGATAGTTCAACAGGTGAAAGTCTCCTACTGGAAATCTGACACCTTATACTGGTAATCTCACGACCGTAAAATACTCAAGTGAGATGTAAAAAGCAGTGCTTCATTCCTCAGGAAAATCTCACAGCCGTGAGATGTCCCATGAGATGCAAAGAGCAGTTCTCACTATCCCAGGAAATTTCAAGGCTACTACGTGAAATTCTCACGCCCGTCAAAATCTCACGTGAAATTGAAACACACAGCTGCCACTCAAACGTTCTCACAGCTCATTCTGGCAAAATAACAGCCGTGGAATTAAGATGTACCTACACTTTCTAGAGTTGTACCTTTACACTAAACTTAAAGTTGTACCTACACTTTCCTAAAAATCTTCTATGGTACAATTCACAATTGTGCCTATACACTATGGTATAACTTAATGTTGTACCTACACTTTCTAAAAAATCCCTCTATAGTACAACTCAAAATTATACCTATACTAATGGTACAACCTTAAGTTGTACCTACACTTTGTCAATATTCTTCAATGGTACAACCCAAACTTGTACTTATACTATTAGGGGTGGCTATAAGGTCCGATCCGGTTAAATTACCCAAATTGATCCGGTCCAGTCCGGTCTTTTTGAAAATATAAGGACCAAAGATTGGATTGGATACAGTCCGGTCTTGACCCGGTCCGGTCCCAATTCGGTCATGATTCTATATTGAGCTTGTGGGGATTTGAGTGGCCTAAGGCCTGAAAGGGTGAGGAGTTGGTTAAGTTTTGTACTAAGTGCAAAGGTTTGTGACCGTTTATGCAAATTACCCTTAAGTTTTGGGTGTTGAGCTCTCTTATCCGGTCTTTATCCAGTTTTTGATCCGGTCCCGAACATTTTTTTTACCTCAAATCTAAGCCCAAAGATTAGATTGGATTGTTTACTATCCGGTCCCAGTTATAAGGTCCGGTTTCGGGTAAAACCAAAAAACCCAGACCAAATAGCCAGCCCTATATACTATGGTACAACTTTAAGTTGTACCTACACTTTCTAACAAATCCCTCTATGGTACAACTCAAAATTGTACCTATACTAATGGTACAACCTTAAGTTGTACTTACACTTTCTAACAAATCCCTCTATGGTACAACTCAAAATTGTACCTATACTAATGGTACAACCTTAAGTTGTACCTACACTTTCTCAAAATTCTTCTATGGTACAACCCAAACTTGTACCTATACTATGGTACAACTTTAAGTTGTACCTACACTTTCTCAATATTCTTCTACGGTACAACCCAAACTTGTACCTATACTATGGTAAAACTATAAGTTGTACCTACACTTTCTAACAAATCCATCTATGGTACAACTCAAAATTGTACCTATTCTTGTGGTACAACCTTATGTTGTACCTCCACTTTCTAAAAATCCTTCTATGGTACAACCCAAACTTGTACCTATACAATGATACAACTTAAAGCTGTACCTACACTTTCTAACAAATCCCTCTATGGTACAACTCAAAATTGTACCTATACTAATGATACAACCTTAAGTTGTACCTACACTTTCTCAAAATTCTTCTATGGTACAACCCAAACTTGTACCTACACCATGGTATAACTTTAAGTTGTACCTACACTTTCTAACAAATCCCTTTATGGTACAACGCAAAATTGTACCCATACTAATGGTACAACCTTAAGTTGTACCTACACTTTCTCAAAATCCTTCTGCGGTACAACCCAAACCTGTACCTATATCATGGTACAACTTTATGTTGTACCTACACTTTTACAAAAAACTCTATGGTACAACTTAAAATTATACATACACGCTAGGTACAATTTTGAGTTGTACCTACACTTTGTGAAACAAATTCTTCAATGCTACAGCTGAAACTTGTACCTATACGATATGGTACAACTATAATTTGTACCTACACTTGTATACATTGATTCATTATTTACAAGATTGCCATTAATGATGTGGGACCAATCATTTAGTGGGTTTACCTCCTCAACAGGTCATCTTTTTTTGTTTTTTATAGCATGGGTGCTATAGAACACACTAGAAGGGCTCGTGAAAGAGAGGCTAATTCGGATTCCAAATATCAGGAAGTAGTATAAGATACATATACGAGTTTCTCTGAATAACTCGAGTTATTATTTATTTTCCTCATATATAAGTTCGTGTTTGTTGGCTTTAAAATTTCTCAGAGAAGGCTAAACAACGATGAGCACCCATGTACATCCTATTTGAATCTTATACCACTTATCTATAGATCGTTCGAATCAAGATAATACGGTGTATAACAAAACCGATTCGTTATTGTGAAACTTGATAACAAAGTGTTTGTTAGCCCTATAATTCCCCAACAGAAGTTAAACAATGATGAACACTCATGTACACCGCACTACAATCCGTTGGAGTCTTCGGACTAACAAACACATTTTGTGGATTTTTGCGAGCAGTACAAGTTTGTTTTCCCCGTGAATGAATGAGTACTACTTCTAATCCTATTAATGAGATTACCAAGGAATGTTGGTCGACGGTTTCACAAAGATACACCACGAATTGCCCTTTCTGCACAATCAACCCATTAAATGAAAGAGCCCTACCCATCACCAAATTGCCACCTTCACATCATCATTAATTACTATCCTTTCCTGGATTCTCATTAACCACCCACTGCTTTCGCTTTAGGTGCTCAATCGATCGTCCCATAAGAAGTGGCTGCTGCTGCTGCTGCAACTGTTGCAGAGATGTGTCTAATCTAGCCCCATATATAGCTCTAACATTATTATCAATATCATCAAAACATAGCTAGCTAAGTGGTCCAATCTGAGTACAATTCTTTTGTAATTGAATGTGCACAGTTCCAGTTTGCTTTCATTCCAACGACATTCCTTCCTTTCATTCCCATGCCCTATCTCCATCCATTGCAACCCATCTACATCTACAAACTCATCAACACTCACCTAGCTGCAGAAAGTTTGGATAAGCGCCATCACTGCAGTTATGTGCTTGGTATACAATATCCATCCAAGGTCTCTCGATATTCCTTCAAGAAACTGAAGGCGATGGACAACCTCCTACTGTTCCTTTCAGCATTCATGGCGCATCTTCTTTAAATTCCACTCCTCTCATCTGCATTGTTACTTCCTCTATGCACATGGCAGCCTTACTCGTCTGAGGTGTATCACGATCTACTGTGGCGCGACTTACAGTTAACGATGTTGATCGTGGCAGAGTTGCAATCTTCTCAGTTTTACGTTTCCTTTGCATGTAAGGAATCCGTGAATTCTAACCTAGTAACTACCTCGATGAGGCTGAACAATGTTAAAAATCGTGTTCTTTCGATTAATTGGATCCTCAATTATCTGAAAAGGTGTAGCATTCCTGCAAATATTGGAGTAGCCAGGAAAACAGTTCCATTTTTGGTCGACAAGGAGGGCTTAAAGCTGCGTACTTAGTTGCCAAGTTTGCCTTTTTATCAACAAAGAAAAGAAACCCACCTGAACTGCTTAGATTTGTAGGATGAAAAGTGAGACAAAGTTGACAAATTCAAACCCACCATGGTTGTTTTTGTGAGGAGGGATCCACAAAGAAACTGTGGACCCATATCCTTTCAAGTTTCAACCCTAGTTAGTCAGTTTCATATCAAGCAACCACAAAAACAGAGACAATCCCCATAGACAAGATTAGGCAGTGAGTTGTTGTTTATGTGGTTTATCCTGTTTTCGGTTTCTCAATAATGTGTTCTTAGTCACGTCAACTTGTCAAATGTTTTCCCTTTACATGTTACAGGGCCTGTTCTGTCTTTTCCTGTACTGCATATCAAGCAAGCTGTGGATGGTAAAGCTCCAAGGTTTCCAATTTAGAACACACAAATATTGAAGCCCACCTTTAATTATGGAGCAAAACTACAAAGATCGCTCAAGAGAAAATGGGGAAAATATCATCTTTGTTCCTTAATCAAAATATCCAAGTGCAATTTGTGTTCTATTGGTTATTACCAAGGATTGTAAATTCATACGAAGGTCGTACCGGAAAGTGAGCAATAGGGTATTTTGCGTTGAAACCATAATTCAACCGTTTCATATCAATGAAAAATCGCCTACCAATTTAACCTCATATAAGAGGTTTTTTCAATCATACCGTCGATATGGTAATGTTTCAAGACACTGGTTACTAGTACTGCTGCTTTTCTAGTCAAATCTCTATGAATAAGATCACTAATTCAATTTGATCGAATAATACATTAGTGAGAGTTGATCTTAAGAAGAAGAAGAAAAAAACAATCAAGAGCACCCATAATCTCCGATAACATTCAACACAAGTTCTCCATCATCGACAGCTTAAAAAAAGCAAATCGCTCTTACCTGAGAATCAAGATTGAACTCTGACTACACTGATCGATGTTCCATCCATTGCGATAGCCGATAAGAAAAACAACAAAAAATACCATCTTTCATATTTATTTATTTATTTATTACAGAACAAAAGAAGCAAAAGCGACGCCCCTGTTTTGAGTGTTTTCACCTTCCTGCAACTTTTTGCTTGGAAGCTGCTGGCAGGGCGGCAGAGTACAGTTTCTCCTTGTGTACAACAACAGGGCCAGCAGCAATCTCCACGGCCTTGAGACTCTTGCAGCTCAGGATTCCACCACCGTCATTCGCATTCGAAGATCTTCTTCCCTTCGCCGCAGGGTTGCCTCTCATTCCAGAACCTGCAGCAGCCATCTTATAATCATCGCCATACTCTGAAGCAGCAAACGAGAAATCAGCAGCACTAGCCGTAACCACACTCCACTCCACGCTCGCCTCGCTCGGCGCGTAACGACTCGTCGGCGTGACACAACCATCATCCTGCTTCGTGAACATTGGCCGCGTGCTCCCTGAAGCCGTCTCGATTTCGAAAAGATCGGAACTTCCATCGCTCTCTTCGTCGTATACCATTTCCTTCTTCATGGGTTTGGGTTTCATGATCAGGGTTTGTTTTATTTGTTGTTGTTGTTGCGGGTTAGGAATTGCATCCCAACTCAGCACAGAGAGCTTCCTTTCTAAATCCATGGCGATCATGTCTTCCTCTTCTTTCTTCATTGAACGAGAACCAAACACTTCCAGAGATTTCCTTCCTTGTTCATCTTCTGCGACTCTCTGAGAAATCACCGGATTCTGTAATCTCGACTTGCTCTGTAATTTTCTTGCTTCCCAATTCACTGGTTTGCTGTGTGCGATTTCGACTCCGACACCCTGTTTGCTGCTGCTGATGTGGAGGGATTTCTTGTCCGAGCAAGAGCCTCTGCAGGGGAAGGCAGGGAAGAACGGCCGCTTCTCTCTGCTCCCACGGCGAGACGACGTCGAGTTTCCAAGTGAGCTGTTGAGGAATATGGATTGGGTGGTGGTGCTGCTGCTACAGCTGCTGGCTTCAGAGCTCACACTGGGAGTTCCCACCACAACTTGCTTGATCTTATGCTTCCTCGTTGTCGTCCTGCGGGGATCAATGGTGCCGCTTTCATGGACATACTTCCCGGTGAGGGTGTCGATGATACGAGGACTTCTGGCGTCCTCGTGTCTCGAGTTGAAGTACTTCTCAGCTCTGAACACGCCAATGCCGTTCTCTTCAGGTTTGGCTATGTCATGGTCATCAAGAGGAAAAGAAGCAGCAGCAACAGCTGGTTCAGTGAGCTTAGCAGCAAAGCTGCTGATCTCTGCTGGTGTGGTGAGGTAGCAAGAGAATGAGGCGTCGCGAAGCCCCGTGATCTTTCTATCGCTCTCCATGGAGTGGAAGTGTTTGATGTGGGAGGTGGTGGAGTTATAAATTATAATGCTAAGAAAGAAGAAGAAAGGCAATAATTTTTGTGGAGAGAAATGTGAATGTGAGGGAACACCAGAAAAAGTGGAAAGATAGGGACTTTACAGGGAGAGACTTAGGGATCAAAGGAAGGACAACTCAAGATTTCTTATACAACATGTTTTTGCAGAGGAAGAGAGAATGGTTTGTTTCTGGTGTTTGATTTTGGACAATACAGAGATCACTGGGGGTTTGCTTATATTCCTGTGTGTCACCAAACTGTATTTAAAGAGGCTGGTGGGGCAGTATCCGATGCTGACACAACTTAAATTTCCCTCCTAACAGTTTTTTTCTTTGATAATGGATCACAGAAGTTGAACTGTCAACTTACTTCCCATATATTTCTACCATAATATGAATTCTTACATCTCTCCTGCAAAGTGAAATCCCTGTATTCTACAATACATGCCTGCAAAAGAATCTCTTTCGGAATTGGTCGCGCCAAAAAGCATCGAGTTGATGTTCAAAGTCATGGACATGAACAAACAACTCTTCCCTTAGAGGCAGAGGAATGTGCAGTCTTTGTGGAACATGGGGCTCTTTTGGGATAAGATGTAGGGTAGGACACCAGAAGTGAAGACAACTTAAAAGGGTGGGTGGCCTCTGCTAGGATACCAATTGGTTGTGGAGATGCCACAGAAAGTATGCTAGTATGGCCACATTTCATTGACCCCTTTGCCTCCAAAGTCCAAACCAAGGAGACATCCCATAGCCCTAGCAGGCTGCCATACAAGACACAGCAACCAGAGATTAAAGTGAAACAGGAGGCAGCTCTATTGGGAAAATATCCTCAAAATGCATGGAGATGGGAAATGGATAAGGCATCCACCAATCTCCAAACAAACCAAAAGGTCCAACAACAGGCTGCGCAGCTTGAAAAGGGAAGGGAAACCCACTTTTCAGCTGGCCTCTCACATGGTGGGGTTGGCTGTCTGAGTCACGAGAAGCAGGGGAATGGAATTCACAACCTATCTTGACAGTCTAAGGAACATTCTAGTAACTAACTGGTAAGCAACACAGCCAATTCAAAGAGAGAGAGAGAGAGATACAGACAAGGCAGAAGAAGAGTTGCTGATAGTCTTCAATGCAAAACTGAGGCAATGAGTTTGTTTGTAGTAATAAATAAGAAGAAAGATTTTTCTACAGTTAAAAGAACAAAGACATACAGAAGGCAATATCACCAATTTCCAACTACATCTGAGGTGATTCTAATAGAATGCTGGCAAAATGGGTACCATATGAAAGAGCAAACTTGGGGAAAAGATAAAGACCAATTTACCTATGTTCTTTCTATCTACTGCAAAATGCAATGAAATGGCACTGTGTTGTGAAATCTTGGCTTGTTCTTAAACAGGCAGGCATGGTTGATAAGATGAATGTGTCTGATTGCCTTGAACCCAAGAGAGTAGCATTTTATTATGAGATGGAAAAAAGGAAGGGATTAAATGCTGCCTCTGTCACTTCTAATTAGTTTTAGTGACATTCTGTTGTCCAGCAACCCAGTATTGTTTGACGGCAAACATCACCTTCTCTGGAACAAGTGGGCCATCTTCATGGTCCACCATTTTCGTATTCCATCTCATACCTGATACAGTTCTCTTCACTTTGACAAGAACATCCACATGATCGCGGAATATCACTGTTCCTTCTGGCCTTAATATTCTATCCATCTCGAGTAGAATGTCTTCCATGCTGCACCTGCAAAGGAAAACAAGTTAGTCTGCAAATTATTATCATTATTCGCTTTGGAATTTGAAACGGAGTATCTCGTTTTTTTGCCCATCTTTTATGAATGTAAAGAATCATGAATCAAGGTTTGCTTGCTTAACAAAGACTAGGGTGAAGACTCACTTGTCCTTGTACAAGCTGAAGAGGCCATTTGCATGAATGAGGTCATACGTCCTTGGATATGTAGAGAAAGCTTCACACCTAATAACAAAGAGCAGAATAAGATGATGATAAGTTAAAGCATCCAAAAGAATAAAGTAATATGAGATCCACCAAAACTACGTTTAAGAAGTGATTTCAATTAAAAGCTCATGCATCTGATAGCATTCTAGCAACGAATCCAACTTATAGAAGTGATTGTGTTCCTTCACTGCGATTTGCTCGGCAGAAGAAAATTCTTTTCATCAAACAGCATAAAATCGTAGTACCAATTAGTCACAGCAGGGGAAGGTGTTTGCAGCAGTACTTACCAATCATGATAAATACCGATCAAACCACGCTCGAACACAACACCCAAGGTGTTCTTCTCTGCAATGGTAGGCACAACATTCATAACCCACAGTTTAGAAGACTCAAGGGCTGCAGCAAAACCTCCCATGCCAGCATTCATGTCCATAATGTTGCGATATCTCCCCGAGTCTAGGATCTTATTTATCCTCCTATACGCATTTACATGCTTCTTCCATGTTCGACTGTCTTCCAGGTATTCCTTCGGAGAGACTCCAGGAATAGCCCCACTAGACACTCTGAAAGGTACAGCTTTAAGTCTCTCAGGAAATGGCTTCCACTCAGAGCCATCAATCTTTGGAGACCCCGTTACACATGGCTCCATTTTCTTGTACCTAAATCAGAAAGCAAAGGAAGCTCATAAGGAACACTTAATCATATAGAATTCTGGAACAGGGAAGAACTGACAAGAGCACTCACCAGACATCATCAGGATCTGACGATTCACACATGGTGCGCTGTTCAGTGCAAGAACCAGGGTCTAGTCTTTTCTGCCAGATACCAATATCACCCAACTCATCTTTCTTTTCCCAGCAAAGAAGTCGGGCAATTTCTTCAATCTTGTTTTGTTCTGCTTCAAGATCCTCTTTGGTTCTATTCCATGCTTGATAATGCGTCCTCCAGTTGATGGGAGGACCCGAAAGCAGCCAGTAACCACCTGGTCTTAGAACACGATCAACTTCCATCATGTACATTCCATCTGAACCAGGAAAAAAAAAAGAGCACGTCTTGCTGTCAACTGCTGCCTCTGTGATCAAACTTCAATTTCTAAGTCCAAAAATACTTGAATTATTTTGTCAAACCAGACCAATAATCAAAATCTCACCATTAGCGCCCCATGGAATCAAGCAACGAGAACAGTGGGCCATATCAAATGCTCCAGAAGGATATGGCAGCTTGATGGTTCCAAGAACACCAATGACAGCCGGAACACCTCTTTCCAGTGCAAACTGAACTTGTGCTTCATGCGAGTCCCTCGGTGCAAATGACATGGTGAGAACATTCTTTTTGAAAAGGTATGCACCCAAACTAGCAACCTAAATCACCAAAATGCAGCATCAATTAGCCCAAGGCTACGAAACTGAGAGGGAAAAAGCATTTTGTACAATAAAAAAAGATAGCTTATATCCATTACCCCACAACCAGTATCCAAGGCAGTTCTAACCATCCCATTATCAATGGGGATAGCCGCAGCAAGCTGATCGATATAAGTATCCGCTCCGTGAGGGAACTGTGTTCCACCACCTGGAAATCTAAACACATTCCCCTCATATATAATCCAGTTCTGGACAGCTTTCTCAACTGTCAGGCTCTTATAAGGTGCATTAGCATAGGGCACATAGTCACGACTCTTGGGCCATGGGAAAGGGGTGGCGTAACCCTTTGGCGCAGGGATGAGGCAGTGGAGCTTCTCGGATTCAGGCGGGCAATGTCGTTCCCTGTAGTTCATGTTCTCCCGTGGGAATGTCATGGCCCTCATTTGATCCTGACACGGTGTGTAATCAATGTACGCGTCGTCACAGGGTGGAATCTCATTGACATCGAGTGGAGACACATCGGTGGTGCCTGCATCGCCGCTGGTTTCATAATTGAGATCGGGGAGGATGCTGCAGTCCATTTGTTTGGTGACCACTTGAGCAATGGTGTCGCCTTTACCGAACCCGCTTCGTTGCCATGCGCCCAAGATGTAGAAGAAGAAACATAAACCGACCACGATGAAGATTGAGATGGAGCTCCTTGTTCTCGGGTCCCCTGTGTTCCCTTTTGTCGCCATGATAGCGCTCCTGAAATCAATTACAGAGCTTTATCTTGATTGATAAACAGAAATGGTCACCGTCAGTGGATGAGACCACCAAAACTTTTCGATGATAATGTTCCAATTGTGGATAAAAGAATACAACTTTGACATCATACGCATCAGACAACATTCGAGGACAGGAATTACAATCGCTTGGTTCCAGAAACGCAAACAATCAACAATGCCTGTACTAGTTAGGGAAATTGAACGAATCACTGAGCAGGGAGAAGGCATTCTTACAACTGTAGAAGGCGGTGCTGGGCGGAGGGAGTGTCAGATCCAGACCATGCTTCAATTGAGAGAGAGCGAGAGAGAGTTGCAGAGAGAAAGCAGGGAAGGAGAGAAAAAGAGGAGGACGCGGGGAAGGAGGGGGAGTGGGTATGGAAGGTTTGAAATTTAGCCTACCCAAAAGGGAAAAAAGTTTCAATCTTTTTGTTGTTCTTTCGTCGTTAATTACCACCATGTGATTCGGATTTCAGGATACTTTGGAACGGAAACGAGACAAAAATGAGACCCCGCGAAAGTCTCTGCTGAAAAATTGTTTCGATTTGTTCGAAGGTTGAGAAAACAAGAGGGAGAAGAGAACGAAGGTGAAAGGGACGTGGCAATGGCGGCAGCATGGCCTGTTGGTTTGATTATGCTCGCTTCCGCTCCAATGAGAACCAACCTGTCTGAACCTGGCACTTGACCCAAACCCAGAGTGGCCCATGAAAATACTGGTCGGACGGGTTGGGTTGGGTTGGCTCGACCCGCTTGACCTTTCGTCTCTCTTTGAGCAGTTGACGGTAGTTGTCCGCCGCTTCCTCCCTCCGATCAACAAATTAAAATCAGTCACAGTACTCTGTTTCTCCCAGCACAGTGATTACGCCGGAGCAGTAATTTCGCCATGAACGACCATCAGAAGTCTCTCATTCTGTCTTCTTCCTCTCAATTCCCGCCTCCTCAAGGTATTACCTTCGTGATCTCCACTCATTTCCTTTCTCGCTTCTGTTGTTACCCGCCCGCAGTCTTCATCTGATTCGCTGGCTTCTTCTTCTTTCCCTTTGCTGCGTTTCTCAGGAGTGAAGCTCTCTTATGGCACGTCCGGATTCAGAGCAGACGCTTCCATTCTCCAATCGACGGTGTTTAGGGTTGGGATCCTGGCCGCGCTTCGGTCCCTGAAGACGCAGTCGGTGATCGGATTGATGATCACCGCTTCCCACAATCAAGTCAGCGACAATGGGATCAAAGTCGGTGATCCCAGCGGCGGGATGCTCACTCAGGACTGGGAGCCCTTCGCTGACTCCATTGCCAATGCTCCGACTCCCCAGGAGCTTCTGCAATTGGTTGAGGAATTCGTGGCGAAAGAAGGCATTCGATTCGATGGATCGCGGCCGGCGAAGGTACTGTTGGGAAGAGATACCAGGCCAAGCGGCGATTCTCTTCTTGAAGCTGCAAAACAAGTATGCAAACTCCCCTTTCTTGAACGATCCCCGAAATTATTGACTGTGATTTCTTATGTAGTTTTCTGACTGAAGGGAATCAGTTCAATCGTTGGAGCAAGTGCTGTTGACATGGGAATTGTAACTACTCCACAGCTTCATTGGATGGTCCGTGCTAAGAATAAGGGTTTGAAAGCTGCTGAGCTTGATTACTTTGAGCAGCTTTCGAGCTCTTACAGGTTTGAATGAGGAAGCGGTAGATATGTTTATTTCATACTTCTTAATTCGTTGCTGTCAATTTTCCTTATGGAGCCTATGGCATTTGCCAGGTGCTTGCTTGATTTGATTCCAAATGGAAGCAAGGTGGAGAAGGCTCAGAATAAGTTGGTGGTGGATGGAGCTAATGGGGTTGGAAGTGAAAAACTTGAGGGTTTGAAGAAATCGTTGGATGGTTTGGATATTGAAATTCGTAATACGGGGAAAGAAGGTGTGCTGAATGAAGGGGTTGGTGCTGATTTTGTGCAGAAGGAGAAGGTTCTTCCACAAGGATTTGGTCCTAAAGATGTTGGGATAAGGTTTGAATATTTCATGTCATCCCATTAGTTTGAATTATGCAGCTCAATTTTGGTGGAGAAGCTGATGGCAGGGCTACATTCAAGTGTTGCAGATGTGCGAGTTTGGATGGAGATGCTGACCGGCTTGTGTATTTCACTTTGCCATCGGAAAACAGCAGCAAAATTGATCTTGTCGATGGAGACAAGATTCTGTCACTTTTTGCTGTATTCGTCAAGGAGCAATTAAGTATTTTGACAGAGGGAGGTCAAATGGTTGAAGATGGTTACCATGCTCGCCTTGGTGTGATACAAACAGCTTATGCAAACGGAGCATCCACTAATTACCTAAGACAACTAGGTCTGGAAATCGCCCTTACTCCAACTGGAGTGAAATACTTGCACGAGAAAGCGGCTGAATATGATGTTGGAATATATTTTGAGGCCAATGGACATGGTACCATCCTGTTCTCGGACCACTTCTTGTCGTGGTTAGAAGCTAAGAATAACGAGCTTGCTTCCAGATCTAAAGGTGATTTCCTGTTGTAGTATTGTAGCACGGGCAGTGACGAGTTGTAGATTGAGAGTGGAAAATTGCTGAATTTGTTTGATTGAATCAGGTTCTGAACAGCAGAAAGCCGCATTAAGACTGTTGGCAGTTAGCAAGTTGATCAACCAAGCTGTTGGGGATGCTTTCAGTGGCTTGCTCTTGGTGGAGGCTATCTTAATACACAAGGGATGGTCAATCTGCAAGTGGAATGGGCTTTACCAAGATCTACCAAGCAGGCAGCTTAAGGTTATATACTATTTCTATGCGGGAATGCGAAGTCTGATCTTCACTTTGTTTCTTGTATCGAGTTGTTTCATTTGCCTCTGAAACAGTTCAGAAACTGATCATCGACACTTCTTCCGTCCTTTAACAGGTTAAAGTTATCGATAGGACTGCTGTTGTAACAGAAAATGCAGAGACTATTGCTGTCAAGCCACCTGGGATTCAAGAAGCAATCAATGCTGAAATAGGTGATGACACATTGCCAGTAGCTATTGAAATATAAAATGATCACTTGCTTGGATTACTTCCGAAACTTTAAACTTTGACCGATTTTTACCTCTCGTCTTGATGTTAATAAGCATGTAACTTGACCGAAGTCCATCTCTCATGCAGCAAAATATCCATGTGGACGATGTTTCATACGACCTTCTGGTACGGAGGATGTGGTCCGGGTATATGCAGAGGCTTCGACACAAGAAGCAGCAGATAGTCTTGCCAACTCTGTGGCCCAGATTGCTGACCAATTCCTGGGATCCCGAAGCAGCAGCTCCGTTTGATTCCACACATTCTCTTGAATCAGCAGAAAATGAATCGCAGTGCTATTAGGCAGCACGTTCTGTTTGACCCACTTGGGTTGCCTTAAATTTGTTATGTATGCTCACAATTCGTAACATTTGTTCCTAACTGACAGACTTTTGAATTGAAAAGAAAAGAAAAAGATGCAAACTTTACGACTTAGATTCTCCTCCTCGCAGTCCCAAATGGAAATATCTCGATTTCTCAATACCCTTTTTCTTCAAATGACGCCGCGCGTATGTATAGGATGTAGAGGAAGAACATCACTCCGTTCAGACTGAAACTATTTCGGCTCAGCATCACACAGAACCGTCGTCAACAAATTCTAGACGGAAAACTGAAACTTTAGGCTAAAGCTTGAGGTGCGCGGAGGCTCTTGGTGGTAGAAATGGCGGCGTGGAGTAATGTGCTCCGCCAGGTAGACTTACAAAGCGACCCGAACCGGGTAATTTCTATGTTCCGGGCCATCCAGAAGGTGGCATACGACAGCCCAGTTTTGGATCCTTACGCTTATGCATCTTTGATCAAGGCTTGCAACAAGCTAAAGTATGCCAACGGAGGGAAATCGGTGCATGGTCGTGCTGTGAAGCTTGGATACGATGGCAGTTTGAGCGTTCGGAATAGCTTGATTCATCTCTATGCGGGTTCCGAGATTCTGAACTATGCACGGGTACTGTTCGATGGAATGCCCGAGAGAAATGTTGTTACGGTTAATGGTATGCTTTCTGGGTTTCTGAAGAACAATAGATTCGTTGAAGGTTTGCGTTTGTTTCATGAAGCTTTTGGTGAGGGGTTGAAGCCAAATCATGTGACTTTGGTAGTTCTGATCTCTGGATGCGTAGAAGCTGGGAGATACAGACTAGGGATGCTGCTTCATTCTTTCTGCTGCAAGAGCTGTCTCGATTCGGCAGTTGAAGTTGGCAATGCTCTGCTTGATTTCTATGCGAAATTCGGATTCATGAATGATGCAGTGAGGTTGTTTAGCAATATGTTGAACAAGGATTTGGTTTCGTGGAACACCATGGTTGCAGGGTATGCAAAGAACGGTGGTAATTTGGGACAGGCTTTCTCTTTGTTTAGAGAAATGAGAAATGGATATGCAGGTTACGACAGGGTTTCATTGGTTAACTTAGCATTGGCCTGTGCTAATGGTAGAGATCTTGTGAGGGGGAAGATGGTTCATGGGCATGTAGTAGTAGCAACTGGAGCAGATACCAGTCTCAGTCTCTCTGTAGGTACTGTGTTCATTAACATGTACTCAAAATGTGGTTTCATGGAATACGCTAGGAGAATCTTTCGCAAGCTGCCAGACGAAAATGTCGCCTCCTGGAACTCGATGATTCACGGGTGTGTCGAAAGAGGGCAAAACAGTGAAGCTTTGGCCCTATTTGATTCTATGAAATCCAGAAGGATGGTCAGGGCAGATGAGGTAACAATGCTGGGACTAATCTCTGCATGTCGTAATTCTGGACAACTGAGTCGTGGCACTGAGATTCACTTGTATATTGACGCCATTGATCATCTCGGTAAAAGCCTTGTCTTGCAAAATGCTCTGATTGACATGTATGCAAAATGCGGGATCATGGATCGAGCTCGATTAGTGTTTGACAAAATGCCCCAAAAGGACGTGATATCTTGGACGACGCTCATTGTAGGTCATGCCATTAATGGCGAAGGTGAAGAAGCACTCCTTGCTTTCAGCCATATGCGTGCTGAAGGAATCAACCCAAATTTTGTGACGTTCATTGGGGTTCTATCAGCGTGTGACCATTCTGGCCTGGTAGATGTGGGTAAGAAGCTGTATACGATGATGATTGAGTGTTATGATATTGAACCAAAAATTGAGCACTACGGCTGCATCGTTGATATGCTTGCTCGAGCAGGAATGCTGGAAGAAGCCAAGAGGTTCATGGAGAAGATGTCCATGGAGCCGAATGGAGTTGTTTGGAGGATGCTTGTAAATGCCTGCAGGGTTCATGGTGATAGTAGACTAGGTTTGAGTTCAGTGGATAAGCTCATGGAAGCAAATAAGTCGAGCGTCATGGCCACTGAGGATCGTGTTCTTTGTGCTAATGTATTTGCTGAGACAGAGAAATGGAATGAGGTTCTGCATGAAAGGACCATAATTGTGAGCCAGAAAGATCCCAAAGTAGCAGGCATAAGCTCCATTTGGACTCAATAGATTCTTCAACACAACATTCTTTTCACAGCAAATAATAGCCCTGGATGAAACATGTCGAAACAAACGACGGTGTATGGAAAACTGGTCACTTGTAAATTATATCTGTTCACTGATACTTTCTTCTGGCTAAATAGCTTAACACAAAAAAAGTAGTTGAAATACGGCGACACGACAAATGTCTAGTAATAGCCAACAGAACATGCACCATCATCTTCGACGGGCGCACTTGATCCCACTGCCGGAGCATGCCATTGTTTCCCATGAGGAGTGGGTTCTATCATCTGGTTGTCCATCATCAAGTGCGTCCATCATCAAGTGCTTCACGTCTTTGCTTTCGTGCTGCACTCTGCCGGTGATCTCTAAGCAAATGCCTGCGGGACCAGCACCTTTAATTTGTTTCTTGTTCTTCTTGGTAGGCTTTTTACTGCTGCTAGGGCCAGGATCCAAGAAGATTGGCTGTATTTTAAGGTTTGGGTTCGGTTTAATCCGGTTCAATTCTCTTTCTTTTCCATCTGGTGGTCTTAGTATGCTGCTCCCTGATTCCATCTCCGGAACTTCATCCTCGTTCACCATGACCTAGAGAAAGCAAACTCCATGGTATCAAGCAATGAGATTATGACTTGGAAGTTGGAACACTAAATGAGTAGAGGCCTTGTTCAAGAATAATTGAGATACCTTGCGACCAACCAAATCAAATGTCACAACCACTTTATTTCTCTTGGCACGCTCTGCTGCTTCTACCTCCTCTTGTCTCTTCATCAAAAGCTCCTTTTCCTGGTTGCATAAAGAAACTAAGATCAATCAAAAATTGAATCTTTTCAGGCATAACAAAAACATGGTTCAGGAACTTCAATATTACCTCCTTTGATAGCCAGCTATTGCCTTCAATCTCATAGTAATCACTTTGATCATCAATGACAGTGGTACGTGCAGCAGCATTACGGTCATAGTCAACAAGCCTCTTCGCATATGCTTCAGCCGATGCTTCAGCATTGTTCACTGGAGCAGAAATTCCCTCTAGACCAGCATACGAACTCCCTTCCATAAGCACAAGGGCACCACAAAAGCTACAAGGTCCTTCTCCTTCTTGCTCACAGACAATCTTGCCACAAGACAGACAATTGCTCACCAGTTTATGCTGGCGGGCTTGACAAGCACACGGCTTGCCCTGTTGGAACACGATTGACCCTTTCGCAGCCTCTGCGAGTGATACCACCTTCCCAGCTTTCTTCTTCCTGGAATTACTCTGTTGGTTGCTGTTTGCTTGACTGTTATTAGAAGTAACGTTCTTTTTCAGTTCGGCTTTCTTTGTCTCAGCCTGGTGACTGCTACTAGATCCAGCACCATTGTTCGATACAGTTGAGGGCTTCTTGGCTGCAATTGCAGGGCCACCTTTCTCGTTTGCTGGCTTCACATAGGCATGAAACTTTGAAGTTGGAGCAACTGAACTGGTGGTGGCAGTAGAATCCACGTACCCTCTAAGCCGCAAATACTCATCGATCACATTCTTCCCAGCTTCCTGCCCGACTATATTCTGCAACAAGGATATCAGACATCAGACATAAGACTGAAACTACCAACGTGGAATGGAACAAAACCGATCCTCCTCCAAGCATCAACAGGGTATAAAACAAAATCCCTAATTCAGATAGGTATAGAATCCTGATTTCTATCACTGACACCCACAAAACTCGTACTGGAATTGATCAAATTGGTGCGAGAAGAAGGACTCAGCCATCAGCAAAAGAAACGAAAGGAGACTGTTGGGAATTCGAATCAATTGCAGCGATATGAAGCGAGTAGGGGAGAGGGAGAGGGAGAGGAAGGGGAAGGGATTACATCGAGATATTCTTTGGCGTCGAGAGGCTGGGCTAGTTCACAATAGGAGACCAAGCCGGAGATGATATCTCTGTCCAACTCCAAACCGGACTCCACTCTCTGGCACAAATCGATCAGCGCTTTCTCCAGCCATTGTCCCGCGGATTCCATCTTCGCCGACGGCGACGTGCAAAACACCCTTAACTTTTCTCGACTGGACAAAAAGACGCGGGCCGGAAAGTTCCAAACTGAACGTTCTAGTAAATACTACTGGATTAGGGTCTGGCCTCTTGAGTTTTGACCGGAAGAGTTTGATTTTCATGTGTATGTGTAGTAAACATTGATGTATATATTTTTTTATGGTTCATGTTGTTAGGGATTGAAGTGACTATTTAATTTGGTAAGTTCTCCATGAATAATATAGTAAAGTATTTAATGTATTTGATTAATGAAGTTTAAAAAATGACAAACAATGTCCAACTACACTAATATAAATACATATTTTCAAACAAAGTCATATCCATATAAAAATGTCAAAGAAGAACAATGATAAGAGTTGTTTTACATCACACATACATAATCAATCTTTAGTATACAATAAATTTTTTTGCCTTTTCCATTGACTTTCATGTATTCAATGATATAATGAAACAAAGTATATGTTTAGAGTGTCCTTAAAAAGAAACAAACTAACTGACACAGTCATGGTTCCGTTGACTTTAATGTATTCAATGATATAATGAAACAAAGCATGTAGATCTCCAGCTGGCAAGTTCAACTAATAGAGCAACACATAAACATCTAAATCAAAGTGAAAAGAAGGCAAAAACTAAAATCAACATACCTAACATTTTGGGGGAAATCCACAACTATAAAAATCATTGTATGAACAATTGATAATGATTTGAACATTTGTGATATATGAGTAGTGAAAGTTAATAAAAGTCATTGTAGCTCTTACTCAAGTTAGAAAGACTTTGATTTAATGGTAAGTAAACAATGATATATAGTGCTTAAGAGGGAAGATGAGACCTTACATTGTTTATTAATATGCATCTTAGTTTCATAAATTTTACATTATTAAAAATTTATGTGCTGAATAGAAACCCATCCAAGTTTGGAGTCATTGCCAAATGTAAGTTATGAGGCAAATGAAAAGTCTCAAGCATCCACATGCTTGAAAAATAAATCTATATTATCAAACATAAAATCATATCTTGCATCAGAAAAAAGAACAAAAAAGTAGTAATTCGATAATCAATATAGGAATCAATATGGACACAATATCTAACCAAGAGAAGAGGAAGCGAAAAAAACACAAATTGTTGTGTAATGATTCCGCTCACGATATTTTAAAGTGAAAAATATCATAAAAATTATTAACCAATAAAAGGGAACGGTAAAGGGGAAAATGCATCAATTTGAAGCTAAAATGAGAGGATTTAATATCCTACACCATCATATATAATAATATATTATATCCTAGAACATCATATAAAAAATCTATCTAAATGAAAAAGTATACTAAATTGAACCCAATGTAAAAGTAACGATATGAAGATAGATATTATATCCACCTAAGGAATAATAAAGTAAGTCATGTTTCTTAGAGACCTCTCTCGATAGAACCACTCTATTATAAAACCCATTTCGTCAAGCAATTGCATCGTATAGAGTTTTAACTTAAATTTGAAGTGCTTATAATTAGCTATTTCAGCTCATGAATTAATTAATTATATCATTTGGTAAAAGAAAATAATTTATAAACTTGAGAGTTATTTTGTAGTATGAAAGTGTTTTAGAACCGTTATTTTATTCATTATTATTAAAATTGCTATTTTTATTATAATGTCTAAGCGTGTCTAGGCGAGCTAGGAGATAGAGAAATGCCCAATGACTGTCGTATGCCTAACGTGCAGCTGAACCTCAATAATTATAGCAAACTTTGAGTGCATCTTATAGATTTGATCACTTCTATTTTGGTATAATTGATTACTCATGAAAGCGATCAATCAAAGAGTCTTTCTTTAAGATTTTGATAAGATGTCCCCTACTACACAATTAGTATGACTAAATTGTAATAAGATAATCATGTATTGAATTTTGAATCGATAGCGCAAAAGATTGTACTAACTCAAGTAGAGTTTTAGCTGCTCAGTACTTCATATTTGCATGTAGATAGCTATTTCGAAGAGTTCGAATATTGATTGAGTTTGTTGAAATATACCTAACGAAACTATGATATCAATCGCAAGATATTATGCTTTTTGGAGAAATTGAGAGAATATGTTGGTGACATCAAACCTAACATGGATACTGTTTGAACCACGACGCCCTGCTAGAACTCTCGCGAATCCCCTTTCGATTGGCGCCTGCCTACTCACACGAACACGGAGGGGCCGCCTGGGCCCGTTAATCCTCCGACGCTCAAGTTAGTTTCTTAGAGAGGGAAGTGTCCCAAAGTAAAAGTTTTAGTGAGAGAATCCAACCTGTGTAAATGCTACCAACTGCCCCTATTTATACTCACCAAGTTCGAGGCTGATCTCCTCCACGTCATTGCCTCATTTAATGCCTTGTACCTTCTTTGTCAGACATCCCAACCACCTTGTCAGGCTTCTGCCGCGTGACAGGCGCCCGCAGGTGGTGGACCACTTGGCAGTCTGACCTTCTTTGGCCTTTGCCATGTACCCTCTTTGTCAGATATCCCAACTGCCTTGTCAGGCTCCTACCGCGTGGCAGGCGCCCACTGGCGATGGACCACTTGACAGCCTGGCCTCCCTTCTTGGCTTTTAGCATTTTGTCCTCATGCGCCCCTCAACTTGCTCGGGCCTAGAAGGGTTTCACAAATCCATTCATGGGCCTTGCCCCAAATGCTGTTGTTCGGAGGCCCAGTCCACTACTTGTTGGGCTTCAATTGTAGTACCCCCAACAATTGCCCCCCCCCCCCCCCCCCAGTTAGGTGCTCATGGCTTCACTTTTGAGCGCCTAACTGACTCTTCTGTTATGGCCTCGCCCTTCTCTTTGTCTATAAGCACCCGATTTCCAGGGTATGCTAGTCTTTACAGTGCCCGAGTTTTTATCGACCATCCTTTGTCGCACTGTTCACTTTGGGACAGGCTTCCCTGCCTTTAGGGCGCCCTCTGTTTTGTGTACCTTCCCCTCGTGATTTGTGGGCGCCTTTCCGTGAGGGGCGCCCCTATCCCTTATGCCCCTCTCACGGGTGGGGGTTTGATATTGGCCCCACCTTTTCCTTGCTTGAATTTGGAAAATTTTAAACTTCGGATTTCGAAATTAGAAAATTCGAAATGCGAAATATAAATTTGAGAAACTCCAAAAAGGGAAAGGTGGGGGGAGCTCAAAAGCCGCACGTGACTTGGGTTCTCCTCTCCTTTAAATATCCCTTGCCCCCTCAGTCATTGTCACTTTCTACAAACTGACTTCTCTCTAAGATTTCGCTCTGACTTCTCTCTAGAATCCTCTTTGACTTCTCTCTACATTCCTATTTGCAATCGTCGTCACTTCCTTCGAGTCAGCTAAGAATGTCGTCGCAAGCAGACAAAGCTTCCAGCCCAGGCGCCCAAGGCGCGGGTGCGACTGGAGCAAGCGCCTCGGGCGCAGGTGGTGATGCAAGGTGTCCGACTCAGAGTGGTAAGGAATCTTCTCGGCTTGTTGGTTATTTGTGTTAAATTTATTCTAGCTATCTAGGGTAGGGCGTCCTCCACGTCAACGTTGCGCCTGGGTCATTTGTTGGTTTAGAGAGGGCGCATGCTTCTACGTCTGCCGATCCATCAAGCGCCTCGACTCCAGGTTTTATGCCTGCAGATGGGTCTTACAAGATTACGACATGGGAGAACTCTTTTCCCCCTGACCATCTTCCAGAGGAGACGTCCACGCTTCCCTTCGACGTGGCAGGACCGCAGCACACGTCGACTGTTACCCTGGCCCGCGTTCATGAACTGGTGACCAGCCTCCAACTACCGCGCGACTGGTGGTATGCGCCTCCCTCTGCAATCTCGCGAGTGGGCGTGTGTGGGCCGAAGTGGATTGGGGTGTACCAGGAGTATTTCTGCTTCGGGCTGCGATTTTCTCTCGACCACATCATGGAAGGGATCCTGACAACTTGCGGTTGCCCGCTGGGCGCCTATCTCCCTCGATCATTGTGATCGTGATCCTATTCAAGTTGAGGTGTCGTGAACACAACGTGGAGCCCACCTTCAACTTGTTCCTGTATTTCTTTAAGATGGCGCCCCTTGACAACTATTTGTCACTTCAAAAGAGGAAGAAGCGCCCATATCATTTTGTGGAGCGGTGTCCGAAGTTGGGGCGCAGCTGGTTCAATGGGTTCTTCTTCATGAAGGCGTACCGAGACTCCTTCTTTAAAAGTGGAGGCGCCTTTCTGAGGCAGTGGGGGTTGGGGCACGCTGAAGAATTTAATGCGCCGGTCGTGTTGTCTCAATAGGAGACAGACGGCGCCCGCCTGATTTGGGAGCGGAGCGTTGACCTGCGCATCACCGAAAACCGCCCCCCAATTCTGGAGGCGTATTATGATGATGGTTTGTAGGCGCCTAGATTTTATACGTGTAACCATGTTGAGACTTGTGTTAATCTTTTGACTTGTGCTAATCATATGACAATGTGCAGGATCGGACTTCAGCAGCATTGCCAAGCTGATGAAGAGTCGGCTTGCGGCTATGACGGGGAGAGCGCCCCCTTCGGTTCGGCCACAGACGCCCATATCGGCCGCCGCCCAATCGCAGGCGCCTCATTCTGGCCCGAAGAAGAAGAGGGCAGTGAAGGGGGGCACGCTTCATACGAAGACCGCCATCGTGGCGTCTTCCACCCCGGAGGCTGAAGAAGGGGCGCCAAACTCTGAACCCGCGGAGTAAGAAGGTAACTCCGTAGAAGAGGAGGCTGAGCCCTTGATTCGTCGGGGGAAGAGGGATGGTTCCCCCCTGACCCATGTCAGGAAAAAGGCTGACAAAGGAAAGGAGAAAGCAGGCGCCGCCGCCCCGGGCGATGAGGAGGGCGCCCAATACCACCTCAATGAAGAGGGGCGCTACGTGGACCCCGATGGGCGCCCTCCTATCTTCCAGCCGCGCTGCTCGCATGTTGGGCGCATCAACTTGCCGTGCTCCCCCATTTCGGCAGCCGACCGAGGCTGCGCTATGGGGTTGGCAACCTCAATGAAGAGGTGAATGGGGGTTACCTCTTTGCAGAATTGGCCCAAGTGGGCGCTAAGGTATATACTCTTTTACTTGTTCTATCGCATTTGTGAAATTGCCTTTACACAAATGCTAACTCTCCTTACTTGGTGTATGCAGAT